CACCCAGACTGGACTGCAGCAGGCTGCTCTCGACCTGCTGGGCTCCAGCGATCCTTCCGCCTCAGCCTTCCGAGTAGCCGGAACTACAGGCGCGCGCTACCATGCCCAGCTGATTTTTTGATTTGTTGTAGAGATGAGGTCTCGCTGCCCAGGCGGGTCTCGAACCCGCGGGCTCAGGCAGTCCACTCACCTCAGCCTCCCAAAGGCGTGGGATTACAGGTTGAGCCACCGAGCATAAACAGATTTTCTATGGAGACAGAAGAAGAGCAGGTCAACGTTTGGAATCGTTTATAAACTAGTTTTTAGAGTTACTGATGAATCTCTAGACTATGGTGGCAACCTGACAGATTTTTCTGGACTGGGACTTGGACCAGGCACTTAAGTGAACCTAATAAAAGTTGGGGAGAAACCCAAACATGTTAGATTAGAGACTTGCATCCAGGAAAAAAACCTTAGGATATGAAACTTAAAAACAGTGAACAAGAGAATATAAACAGGTATGTTACAGTTTCTTTTAAAACTTAGTTTCGACCGGGCTCGGTGGCTCAGCCTGTAATCCCAGCACCTTGGGAGACTGAGGTGAGTGGATTGCCTGAGCCTGCGGGTTCGAGACCAGCCTTGGCAACTTGGCGAGACCTTGTCTCTACAATTAAATTTTAAAAAACCAGGTGTGGTAGCGTGCATCTGTAGTTCCGGCTACTTGGAAGGTTGAGGTAGAAAGATTGCCAGAGCCCAGAAGTTCAACGCTGGGGTGGCCGTGATTGTGCGTTCCACTACACGCCACCCTGGGCAAAGGAGTGAGACTCCAACTCAAAACCAAAACCAAAAACTTAGTTTTTCCAATTTCTGTTTTTATTAAAGGCAAATTATAGTAGGGCCAGTTTACTTGCAAATTAAGATTTGGACTTAATATGTCTTATTTGTATGAAGTATAACAAGATAACTGGGCATGGTGGCTCATGCCTATAATCCCAGCACTTTGGGAGGCCAAGGCAACCCAGTTCAAGACTAACCTGGGCAACTTGGGGGGACCTCTTCTCTACAATAAGTCAAAAAATTAACCAGACGTGGTGGCACACGACTATAGTTCTAGCTACTTGGGAAGCTGAGGCAGAAGGATTACCTGAGCCCAGCAGGTTAGGGCTGCAACAGAGTGAGACTCCAACTCAAAAAAAATGTATAATAAGATATTTGCCTTTTTGGCCTTTTAAAAATTAGCTTTGTTAAAACTTCTTTTCAAGCCGGGCTCGGTGCCTCGATCTGTAATCTCGCGCCTTTGGGAGGCTGAGGCGAGTGGATTACCTGAACCCACGAGTTCGAGACCTGCCTGGGCAGCGAGACCTCATCTCTACAATAAATAAAAAAATCAGCCAGGCGTGGTGGCGCATGCCTGTAATTCCGGCTACTTGGAAGGCTGAGGCAGAAGGATCGCCAGAGCCCAGCAGGTTGAGGCTGCGGTGGCCGGAGCGGCCACTGCACTCCAGTCTGGGCGACAGAGTGAGACTCCAACTCAAAAAAAAAACAAACAAACTTCTTTTCAAAAAGAATTTCAGATTAGATAAACTCTTAATCTCTTAAAGCTGTTTATTGTGAAATATTCTAGTTAAAGCCTTGGTAAAATGACCAGTGTTTCCAATTATATTTTGTTACAAAAGAAAACGTTGTTGAACTTATGCAGACAACCATATTGTTATAAATTAATACTTACAGTTTTTAAATTTTAGAGAAATTAGGTGTAAAGAGATAAACAAAAATATCCAGGCATGGTGGCTCACATCTGTAATCCCAGCACTTTGGGAAGCAGAGGTGAGAGGATTGCCTGAGCCCAGGGGTTCAAGACTAGCCTGGGCAACTTGGCAAGACCTCAACTCTACAATAAATTTAAAAAATTAGTGGGCATGATGGTATGTGCTGCCAGTAGTTCCAGCTACTTGTAAGACTGAAGCAGAAGGATCGCCTAAACCCAGCAGGTTGAGGCTGCGGTGACCGTGAGCATGTCACTGTACTCCAGCCTGGAAGACAGCGTGAGACTACCTAAAAAAAAAAAAAAAAAAAGCTGGGCTCGGTGGTTCAGTGGCTCAGCCTGTAATCCCATGCTTTGGGAGGCTGAGGTGAGTGTATTGCCTGAACCCACGGGTTCAAGACCTGCCTGGGCAACTTGGCGAGACCTCATCTCTACAATAAAAAACAGGAAAACAAATTGTAAGGATTAGAGAGACTGAATTGCGAACATGAAATTTATATATTGAACGTTTTTTAAACATAATGGGTTTTAAAAGCATGATGATTACAGGTTACCACAAAACAACCACTCATGTAGCCAAAATGATAACTTAGAGATTCGACAAGCACAAAATCCTTACTTTTTTTTTTTTGAGTTGGTGTCTCACTCTGTTGTACAGGGGTGGAGTGCAGTAGCATGCTCATGACCATCCCAGCCTCAACCTGCAGGGTTCAGGCCATCCTTCCACCTCAGCCTTCTAAGTAGCTGTAACTAAAGGCACATGCCACCACGCCCAGCTAATTTTTTTATTTATCATAGAGTTGAGGTCTCACCAAGTTGTCCTGACTGGTCTTAAACCCCTGAACTCAGGCAATCCTCTCGTCTTGGCCTCCAGAAGTGCTGGGATTAAAGGCTTCAGCTCCACACCTGGCCACATCTTTACTCTTGATAGAGAACATTCACTCTTTTTTTTGAGTTGGAATGTCACTCTGTCGCCTAGGCTGGAGTGCAGTGGTACACTCACGGCCACTGCAGCTTTGACTTGCTAGGCTCAGGAGATTCATTTGCCTCAGCCTTCCAAGTAGTTGGAGCTACAGGCGCATGCTACCATGCCTGGCTTACTTTTTTATTTATTGTAGAGACAAGGTCTCACCAAATTGCCCAGGTTGGTCTCAAACCCCTGAGCTCAGGCAATCCTCTTGCCTCAGCCTCCCAAAGTGCTGAGTTTACAGGCTTGAGCCACTGTGCCTGACTTGAGGAGATTCATTCTTTTAGGCAGTAAAAAAGAAAGACAAAGGGAACCAGTTGAATTTGCCTTTTCTCCCCCTAGTTTTTTGCAGTTTATAGAAACCTTTATTGTTTCCTGAAATGATATAAAAATCTTGCTTAAGCCAGGTTTGTTGGCTCAGCCTGTAATCCTGTGCTTTGGGAGGCTGAGGTGAGTGGATTGCCTGGGCCCGCGGGTTTGAGACCCACCTGGGCAACTTGACGAGACCTCATCTCTACAATAAATAAAAAAAAATTAACCAGGCATGGTAGCGCATGCCTGTAGTTCCAGCTACTTGGAAGGCTGAGGCAGAAGGATCGCCGGAGTCCAGCAGGTCAGAGGCTGCGGTGGCCGGGAGCGTGCCACTGCACTCCAGTCTGGGCGACAGAGTGAGGCTCCAACTCAAAAAAAAAAAAATCTTGCTTAAAAGAGAATAGCAAATGTTATCCTCTCATGAGGGTATTATGTTATTAAAGCTAAATTTAATAAAACTTGATGACCAAACCTATCTAACTGTGATTAGATTAATGCTTTGAAAGCTTGTTTTCACATAAGGGCCTAGATTTTGGCCAAGAATTAATATGGGTGCAGTGGCTCATGGCAGTGATCCTAGCACTTTGGGAGGTTGAGGTTAGAGGATTGCCTGAACCCATGAGTTCGAGACCAGCCTGGGCTATGTGGTAAGATCTTGTCTCTACAATAAATTTAAAAAAACCTGGCTGGGTGTGGTGGCACATGTCTGTAGTTCCAGCTATTTGGAAGGCTGAGGCAGAAAGATTGCCTGAGCATAGCACATTGAGGCTGCAGTGGCCGTGAGCATGGCACTGCACTACAGCCTGGGTGACAGAGTGAGACTCCAACTCAAAAAAAGCATTAGTATGCTTAATGTGTAAAAAACTAAACATCCTTTTAGAGTTTAGCTAATTTGACCATATATGTGATTAATCTGGCATAAACATTTAACAACTTGTACTTAAAGATGTAAGTTTAATGACAGCTTAAGTACAAAGAATATTATAGAAACAAAGTTTTATATTTTAAAACATCAGCGGAAATAGTATTTGACCAATGGATCAAATACTATTTAGATAAAATGCTTAAATTCTGAACATATTGTTTTTTACCTATTTTAAAACTGCAGTTACTAAAGATTGACAGATTAGTGCTTTACGATAAAAAGACTGTTACTTTGACATAATAGCATTTTGGCTTAACATCAGTGTAATTGATATTAATGATTAATTCATAGAAATAACTAAATTTTTTAGCAAACTTGATTGTTCATAGAATTTCCACAAATCTTACACATACCATTTTACGACATGCTTGAACCCTTCATTTTTGTTCTATACTTTTGTATTTCCCAAATAACCAGTAACTATATATTATAGGACAAAAATTTACTATACAATAAATTTCTATACAATATTATTCTCTTTCCTTTATATCCTTCCTTACCAAAAACATATCTTACATCAATAACTAACTTTGTGTTTTTAGGTGGTCAAGAGTCTTACCCTGTCGCCCAGGCTAGAGTGCAGTGGCACATTCATATCCACCGCAGCCTCAACCTGCTGGGCTCAGGTGATCCTTCTGCCTCAGCCTTCCAGGTAGCTGGAACCATCATACCCAGCTGATTTTTTGATTTGTTGTAGAGATGAGGTCTCACCAAGTTGCCCAAGCTGGTCTCAAACCCCTGGGCTCAGGCAATCTTCTTGCCTCCTCGTCCCAAAGTGCTTGGATTACAGGCATGAGCCACCCGACCTGGCTGACAAGGATTTAAAGAAGGAATTTTCAAGCTGGGATTGTTAGCTTTGTTAAGTAACAGGATGTGAGGGGTTGGGAAAGTTGAGGTTGCTTTTCTGATTTCTCTCATAAGCCAGATGGGAATGGAGATGTCCCTACCTGCATGGGTCATCCAAGCAGAGGAGGGGTTGGAGTGAGCAAGGTGCCAACAGGCCATCTTGGTACAGCTGTATTACTTCTGAGTAACCAGGAAATGGCTTACAGGTACTGATGCCACTCATGCGGAGCACATTGAGACCATCAAAGCCCGGATGTATGTGGGGCTTACTTCAGACAAGCGGTTCCTCCCTGGACACCTGGGCATGGGACTTGTGGAAGGTAAGGGATGAGGCAATGGATAGCAAGTGACTTTGTGGCCCAAGTCCCCCAAGGGTGTTGGGTGAGACCTCACAGAGCACTGTTCTTTCCCTGCAGGTTATGATTCCATGGGCTATGAGATGTCCAAGCCCGATCTCCGGGCTGAGCTAGAAGCTGATCTGAAGTTAATCTGCGAGGGCAAAAAGGACAAATTTGTGGTTTTGAGGCAGCAAGTACAGAAATATAAGCAAGTTTTCATTGAAGCGGTGGCTAAAGCAAAGAAGTGAGTACCGACCCTGCTCCTGTCCCAGAGGTCATTTAGCTCCTAGCCTGGCAGTAGCATTTCCCCACTGAGCAGTGAGAATTCTTAACGCTGCCAGATTCTTCTTCACCAGTGACCTCCTGGTGGGAAGGGGGGGTGCTGTCCACATACTGCTCTTTCCCTTTGGGTTTTCCTCCTCAGATTTCTGTTTATTCCTCTCCTTAGAGCTTTGCCCATATAGAAATAGTAGTCAGAATGGTCTGCCCCAGTTATTCTGGGCTACTGGCTTTAGAAATGCCATGCAGGTTATTTTCTTTCTGTCTTGAATTAGGCAATGTAGTCTTTTAAATCAGTAAGCCCAAGTGCTGGAGTATGATCCATTTATTCTCTGGAGCATTTGGAGGTATCCATTTAGCAAGCAGTTTGTATGCGTTTTGTTGGAAATTATGTGTTTCTACCTGTGATGCTGTGATTTAGAATAAAATACATATATATATTTGGGTTTCCTGGCCCACAACTCCTCAAACCCTTGGAATATCCAAAGCGATAAGTGGCTTTTATATGCTAATGAATGACTGGTGTGGGGCGAGGCTTCTGGATCACCTCAGGATGGAACAACCCTGTGATTAGAAGGTTGAACTTTCAGCCCTACCCCCCATCTTCAGAAACCCCAGAGGAACAGGAGATTGAATCGGCCAATGGCCAATAATCAAACATGCTTGAGTAACGGAGCTTCCAGAACAACCCAAAAGGAACAGGGTTCAGGGAGCTTCCAAATAGCTGAGCATGTGGAGGCTCCTGAAGGGTGGCACTCTTGAAACGACGTAGAAGCTCTGTGCCCCTTTCCCACATCCCTTGTCCTGTGCATCTCTTTCATCTGGCTATTCATCCATATCCTTTATATTAAATGAGTAGATGTACGTAAAGTGTTTACTTGAGTTCCGTAAGCTGTTCTAGCAAATTTATCAAGCCTGGGGAAGGGGTTATAGCTAGTTTGTCAGAAGTACAGGTCACAGCCTGGGATTTGTGGTTGACATCTGTAGGCCAGAGAGGGTGGGGCTGTCTTGGGACTGAGCTCTTAACGTTGAGATCTGTCTCCAGTCTATGGCCATACCACCCTGAACACACCCTATCTTGCCTGATCTTGAAAGCTAAGCAGGGTCAGGCCTCCTTAGTACTTAGGTGGGAGATCTGTCTCCAGGTACTAGTGTCAGAATTGAGTTGGACTAGAGGACACTCAGCTGGTGTCTGTTGGAGAACTGTTTGTTGTACAGAGAGAAACCCCCACGCATCTGGTGTTGGAAGTGTATTATGAGACTGTAGTAGAAAATCGTCTGTTTTTTTCTGTCCTTCAGTCTACCCCATGCCAATTTTGAAAAGAAATGCATGAGATACTTTAAATTCAACGCAAACAGATACTTCTGGAGTTTATGTGTGGACCTTGTGTATAATAGCTGTTTCAAGTGGGGCTGGTGACAAGGCAGAAGAATCTGTCTGTAGCTAGATACTTCTAGGCACTGGCCAGGAGATAGAAAGGAGCCAGGGCCATTGGTGAGCTTAGTCTCCTCTTTCTGCCCTTTGTCCTCTGCAGTAGGCCTGCAACTCACTGACCAGTTGATTCCCAGGGTTACGCATGTTGTGTGCACATAAGAAGGTTGTAAATGCCTTTGTGGTGGTTGGATTGTTGATTGGTGAGTGTCTTCACCTTTTCTTCAGGTTGGACGAGGCCTTGGCCCAGTACTTTGGAGAAGGAGCAGAGGTGGCCCAGCAGGAAGAGATCTACCCAACCATGCCAGAGCCCATCAGGAAGTGCCCACAGTGCAATAAGGACATGGTCCTCAAGACCAAAAAAAGTGGCGGGTCAGTGCCCGGGATTCTGCCCTCACCTGTGCTCTCCAGCACTCTTTGCATTTCTGTAAAATTAGTTAAAGGCAGGCCTGCTGTGGCCAGCTCCTGGATAAGGATGAGGATAGTTGAGTGGGGTCAGGCCTTTGAGGTGTGGAGTACTGTGGGACTCCACAGCGGGTAGGGAACTGAGTGGGTTTTTTTTTGTTTTTTGTCCTTTATGGATATAGATGGTCACTTACCTAATGTGTGGTGAATGGAGGAGCATGAGCTTCAGGTGTAAATGAGTCTGGATTCAAATCCAACTTCTTTTATTTATTTATTTATTTTTGAGTTGGAGTCTCACTCTGTCGCCCAGACTGGAGTGCAGTGGCCGCTCCCAGCCACCGCAGCCTCGCCTCCTGGGCTCCGGTGATCCTTCCACCTCAGCCTTCCAAGTGGCTGGAACTACAGGCGCGTGCTACCACACCTGGCTAATTTTTTGATTTATTGTAGAGATGAGATCTCACCAAGTTGCCCAGGCGGGTCTCGAACCCGCCTGCTCAGGCAATCCACACACCTCAGCCTCCCAAAGGCGCGGATTACAGGCTGAGCCACCAAGCCTGACTTCTTTTTTTTATTTTTTTTTAAACATTTTTTATTTTATAATTGTGGGGTACAGTTAAGGGCTAGGTATACAAATATGCATTGTGCAGTCAAATCCAACTTCTAGCACAGATAAACTGTGTGGCCCAAATCAAATGATTTGACTACTCTGAGCCCCAGTTTCTTTTTTCTTAAAACAAGGCTATTAGTGTCTGTCTTACAAAGCTGTGTTAATGGTGACAATTTGATTAAAAGGATCAAGACTATCTGGCACATTACCGGATATGTTGTACATATTCACCCAGTACTAGTTTTCTTCTCTCCTAGTTTTAGCTCTGAATTAGGCCTGAAAAATCAGTTTCCTTTTTGTTTTCAGTACAGTAGATCTGAGTGGGCAGTTTACCTACAGGATCAAGTTGTCCAGTCAGACCTAGTTGTCCAAGCAGCGGCTGGCCATTGGAAGAAGTTCACGGAGAAAGAGGTGCTAGAGAAGGGTGGCAGCCATCATTCCTCAGGTGGCGTCCCTTGCCAGCTGGTGTGGTGCAAGGTGCTCTGTAACATTCTCTCATTGCATCTGCATAACCACCCTGCGAGGATTGTTTTTTTTTAAGGGATGGGTTCTCACTCCTGGGCTCAAGCAATCCTCCTGCCTTGGCCTCCCAAAGTGCTGGGATTACAGGCATGACCCGCCACACCTGGCCAAGGCAGTGATTTTGAAAAAGTAAAAACTGAGGCTTAGGCCAGGCTTGGTGGCTCAGTGTGTAATCCCAGCACTTTGGGAGGCCGAGGTGAGTGGATTGCTTGAGCCCATGGGTTTGAGACCACCCCAGGCAACTTGACGAGACCTCATCTCTACAATAAATCAAAAATTAGCTGGGCATGGTAGCGTTTGCCTATAGTTCCGGTTACTTGGAAGACTGAGGCGGAAGGATCATCTGGGGATGGCCATGAATGTGCCATTGCACTCCAGCCTGGGCGACAGAGTAAGACTCCAACTCAAAAAAAAAACAATGCTGAGGTTTAAATGACTGGGGCACTTGTTTGGAGTCAGATAGACCTGGTAGGCAGTAAAGTCAGAGTTTGAATCCAGAACTTCACTGTGTTTCTCCATCCTGCCTGGGGCTACAGTGTCACGTTGCCTCCTTGCTGCTGAATGAGTAAAGTTTCCCCCAACTCCTTACTCCCAGCCATCAGCAGCCTGCCTGACCCAGTGAAGAGGTCATCTCAGCTCTCAGGACCAAGAGGTCTGTGGGCCAGACCTGGAAGCAGGTAGCAAAGCTCCCATCACCCACAGACAAGGCAGTGCCACTTTAGGCTTAGCCCTATACCTGGGCATGTATTTCAGTGCTTACTAAATGCTATTGATGGTTTTTCTTTACCACCAGTAGACTACTGGATTAGTAATAATTAGAATATTAGGAGAGAGAATACTTTTGTTTTAGCTCTGAATTCTTCACGTACTTGGTAACAAATGAATACTCTCAGTCACCCAGGGAGGTTTGGAGATTGTCTTGTGTGATTTACCACTTCAGGGTCTAGCTGATAATTTCCTTTTCTGGGTTTGTGAATTTCCTATTTAAATAGGGCCTTAGGGGTTTTTTGTTTTGTTTTGTTTTGTTGTGTTTGCTTTTTTTCTGCTTAGTCATACCCAGGCACACTTTGAAAATAATGTACATGTAGGCTGATCAAACCCTAAAGTTTCATGACCTGAAGGTGCAGAGAAACATTAGCCAGGAAGGATGACTGGTGTAGGAGTTGGGGGTGAGGCTCTCGATAGACAGGTGGGGTTCCAGTCCTGACTCCTATCCTTACATGCACATCTCTGGGTAGGTTTCCAGACTACTCCAAGCCTCCATTTACTCACATGCAAACTGAGAGTTCTGCTGGCTCCACTCATTTGTCATGAGGCAGAAACACAAAGAATGTGTGTGAACACTTAGCACAGAGCACTCAGTACCTGGTTTTACCTTGACTAGTTGTTTTTTAAGCAGAAAGCAAAGTCAGCAATAGCTGCATTTTTAGGGATGGGGCAAATAAATAGGCTTCTTTCTTCAGAGTCATTCAATATCAGTGACAGTGTATGCAATTAAGTGTCTTCCAGAAAAATGAATGTCCTCATCAGTCAGCTGAGGAAAGGTAGATGGGCGAGAGCCTCACCCTGTCTCCTGTGCTCCCATGATCTGACCTGGTCTCCTGCTCCTCAGGTTCTACCTCAGCTGCACAGGTTTCCCAGAGTGCCGCTCGGCCATGTGGTTTCCTGACTCGGTGCTGGAGGCCAGCAGGGACAGCAGTGTGTGTCCGGTTTGTCAGCCGCAACCTGTGTACAGGTGAGCCGGGCACCCAGGTCAGGCGCCGCCTCTCGAACATGTGCACCACAACACCTATCCTTCCCTTCCTCCTGGTAGAACCCAGAGGGGAGGATCGGGGATTCCACTAAGGCACTACTGGGCTTTAGCTGCACTCGGGAGAGCCAGGCAAGCAGGCCTGGTCTGGTTCTGCTGTGTTTCGTGTGCCATCACTGCCTTGGAGGGTGTGGAAGCCCAGCCTGGGAGTGGGCTCTGGGTGGCCAGGGAGGACCCCTCTGTGCAGCATGGAGAACCACGACAGCTCCCTTCCAGATAGATCACAGCTGCATTGGAATCAGAAAATTATTCATGTGTTAAGTATGTTGTCTGAGTGCCTCCAAAAAGCCTAAAGCCCTAGTGCAGGACAGTACCTCCCAAACCTCTGGGTCACAAGACCCCCCCCACTCTGAAAAATCATTGAGGAGCCCAGATAACTTTTGTAGTGGGTTATTTATCAGTATCTACTATATTCAAAATTAAAGTGGAGACATCTTTTAAAGTATTTTGTTGCTGTTGTTTTTGTTTTGAGTCGGAGTCGTACTGTTGCCCAGGAGTGCAGTGGTACTCTGACGACCACCGCAGCCTCCAACTACCAGGCTCAGGAGATCTTCCACCTCAGTATTAAAGTATTATATTAACTCACTGATAGCAAATGCATTGCATACTAACATAAATAACTTTTTTTCACAATGTCTGTTTTCCAAAGCAAAATAATAATGAAGGGAATGATGTTTTACATTTTTGCAAGACTCATGTCTGGCTTAATAGAAGACTGCTGGATTCCCATATCCACTTCTGCAGTCAGCTGCTGTCATAGCATGTGCTGGACCCTCTGGAAAGCGCCAGTGCACACACGTGGAAAAATGAGATAAAAACTTCTTAGCATTATTATAAAACAGTATTGCCCTCTCCTTGAAAGGGCTGGGAACCCCTGGGACCCAAGAACCAAACTGAGAAGTACTGGTATAGAGAGAGTGGAAACTTTCAAAGGTATTTGTATTTGGTTGAATGACCGGGGTCTCAGATTTTACCTACACTGTTTCCTGCTCTGCATTCCTGTGACGACTGGTGGGGGCTTATGGTTGGCTAATCAAGAACTTCACCAAGGGTCTTACGTGGCCTTCCTGGGCTGTGAGTGACGGTGAGGAGAGGCCTAAGGCTGGAGGGGCCCTTTGAGGACCAAGTGCATGCTGCTGGCACCTGGTTGTTCATGTTTTTTCTCATCTGCTGGCCTCCCTAGGTTGAGGTTGAAGTTGAAGCGGGGTAGCCTTCCCCCAACCATGCCTCTGGAGTTTGTTGGTTGTGTCGGTGGATGTGATGAGACCCTGAGGGAAATTCTGCACCTGAGATTTTCACGGGGCCCCCCCAGAGCCAGCCAGCCCTCTGGCCATCTGCAGGCGAGCCAGTCCCTGAACAGGATGGACAGCAGCCAGCACAGCCATCTGCCAGGTCCTGAAAACAGACAGACTGGGCCCTCAAGGGCTCTGGCCCAGACCTTCCCACCACCCATTGCTGCTGGTGAAAGCAACTCTGTAACATGCAACTGTGGCCAGGAGGCCGTGCTGCTCACTGTCCGTAAGGAAGGCCCCAACCAGGGCCGGCAGTTCTATAAGTGCAACGGGGGTGGCTGCAACTTCTTCCTATGGGCAGACAGCAGCCATCCAGGAGCAGGAGGACCTCCCGCCTTGGCATCAAGACCTGCAGGCAGCTCACTGGGACACCATGCGGGCCCAGGGAGCCACCTGGGTGGGTTTGGAAGCCCTGGAGATGGCAGTGGGGGTGGTGCGTCCTGCCTGTGCAGCCAGCCCGCCGTCACACGGACTGTGCAGAAGGACGGGCCCAACAAGGGGCGCCAGTTCCACACGTGCGCCAAGCCAAGAGAGCAGCAGTGTGGCTTCTTCCAATGGGTCGATGAGAACGCAGCCCCAGGTGAGGAGGTGAGGTGGGTTTTCACAGTGGAAAGAAGGCAGGGCAGTGTTGTGGGGGGATCAGGAGAAGGTGCCCACGCTACCTTACACCTTCTTGTTTCCTTACTTGATCACTTTTGGCAAGTTGGCAGTAAGACACAGACTTTGTTCCAAATTAAAAAGTGGCTACCATATGTGGGTAGCCTGCGTCACTAAGCTAAAAAAACTTCATGTGCATCTTCTTTTATCTTCATCAGGTAAGCATTATGATCACAAGTTTACAAAAGTTACAAATGAGGAAGCTGAGGCACAAAAAGTGACTTTGCTCAGGGTCACGCAGTGACAGAGCCCAAGACTGGGACATGGGTCTGCCCCATCCCACAGCCCTGTGCTCCCCATAGCCTTTGTGACGCTTGCAGGAGCATGAACATCAGCCTTGTTTCTTCAGATGCACAGAATGGCCTAGATGATGTTGAGAAACCTGCCCGGGTTATCCAGCTTGGTCTGGTGTCCTGAAAACGGTGTCATGAGAACTGGCACCCAGGTACTGGATCAAAGTGGATGGTGGATGTGGAGGCACTTTGAATGGTCCCTGATGCTCTAGTGCTCAGCAGAGCTGAATGAAATACCTGAGAATGACCAAAAGGCCTAGTGGGAGCTTTCAACTTGTGCAAATCGTTCCAAAGCTCAGCTGTATCACCTTAACAAACAACTTGTTGTTCCTCAACAAGGAGGTACCTGCCTGCTTTCATAGGAATCCTGTTTTATAAAGATTTCTAGTTAGTCTCAGATTGTGATGCTAACACATGCCACTAACCTTGCATGCACAGGGAGAACCCAGAGGCTTGGTAAAAAGTATGGGAGTTTTGGAGCCAGCTGCCAGTGTTGGTGGGGCCCAGAGATGGCCATAGTAGTGACAGACCCACACTTGAAGTGTGTAAGAGGCTGTCTGGCCTTGGACACACTTCTGACATGCCAGGGCCACTTGTCTCCCCAGCTGGAAGAAAGTAGTGTCCGACTTCCAGGCCAGTTGATCCGCTGTTCTGGGTAATCAGGCAGCCAGTACCAAGAGGCTGTTTAGGGACTAGAAGGATCCAGAACTCAGGTTTCCTTGCCTGGAAGATGGGGAGCAGGTAACAGTCTGCTTGTCTTTGCCACTTCAACACAGGCCAGCTGCTTGCTCAGGTTTCTACCTCTATAAAAAAGGCCAGCACTTACTGACACCGGTACCTCCTTACCTGGACAGTGAGCATGAGGTGATGTCTCTGAATGCCTAGCATTCTTTAGAGAGAGGTGTCCGGTAACATAAGGTGGTAGGTAACATCATATCCTGAGTTTATGGAGTTGTCCTCTATAGAGTGGGGGGAGTCTGGCCTGTGGGGTGTATGTGACTGCAAAAGTTGGGACACCCTCCAACCAGCCCTGTAACCCGTAGTTGTTACCACTTCAGTGTGTCAGTTCTAAACCCACCTTTCCCCTGAACTCTTTCCACAGGGACTTTTGGAGCCCCCTACTGGCCAGGAGACAGAGGAAGAACCCAGGGGCCAGAGGCCAGAAGCAAAAGACCCCGGGTCAATTCCTCAGACATGGGGTCCTCGGCAAAGAAACCTCGGAAATGCAGCCTTTGCCACCAGCCTGGACACACCCGTCCCTTCTGTCCTCAGAACAGATGAGGGCAGGGTAGGGTAGAGAGTGCCACTTTCTCATATCTGCCCCTGTTGTGTCAGGAAGTTAGTTAACCAGGACCAGGTAGCTATTTGTTGTCCTGGAAACTTTGAGGAAAGTGTTAGCCTTTGGAATCAGGCCTTCCTGTGTCTAGGAGCACAAGGTCCAGACATTCAAGCAGACCATCTCTGCTGGGCAGTGGCCCTGTGCCTGGGGCTGAGGAATGACATGGTCACTGTTGAGAAGTCATGCGGCTCTTCCATCTGACCCCACGTGCACGGTTGCCTGGGTGTAGCCCACCGTGTTGCAAAGTGAGACGTGCCCGGGCCTGCTTCCTTCACCCCGAAAAGCTGCCTGAGTGACCAGCAAGCAATCCATGTGCAGGCTCTGGACAGGCTTCTCCACAGACAGCGCAAGAAGGGGTTGCGTGCAAGGACATGGCTGTTCTAACACTGATTATGCAGAAGCTTCTTTCTCTCTTCATATGGTAGCCAGAACACCCAGAGTTCATGTGCCTTAATAAAGAATCTGACCCCTTTTACCCTGACCGGTGAGAGTGCAGAGGGTCTGGGGACGCTTGCAGGAGCGGTGGACACAAGTACCAGCCAGCACTGGAGGGTGCTCTCACCCTGAGAGCTCTTGCCAGCCACCGTCTCGTGGCTCCCCTGCTAGCTCCAGCCCTTAAGCACTGAGCTCAGTTGCTCATCTCCCCCCTCCTCCCCCCAGTTTGTCCCTCAGAGCAGAGAAGATGCCCAATGTGAGTTTAGATCCAGATCACTAACTGTCCATTTTCCGCCCTTTCCAGCAGTGGCCATGTTCCCAGTCTGCCTTCACAAAAGCCTTGTGAATAATAACAGACACACACACTCTGATTTAGTTTAGAAGGTGTGTAGGCCAGGCTCGGTGGCTTAGCCTGTCATCCCAGCGCTTTGGGAGGCCAAGGCGAGTGGATTGCCTGAGCCTACGGGCTCAAGACCAGCCCAGGAAACTTGGCAAGACCTCATCTCTACAATAAATTAAGAAAAATTAGCCAGGCTTTGTAGCGCACACCTGTAGTTCTGGCTACTTGGAAGGCTGAGGCAGAAGGATCGCTGGAGTCCAGTAGGTCGACACTGGGGTAGCTGTGAGTGTGTCACAGAGAGAGACTCCAACTCAAAAAAAAAAGCAGATGTACAGAAGTGTGTGAGTGCCAGTGTCACATTTGCTAGTTGGTGAAGAATCTGGAATTGTTCTCAGGGCATGGACTCCTGACCCAGACCCATCAGACCGGTGATTCTATGTCCTGAGTGGGCGTCAGGGAGGATTTTTACAAATGCAGACTCCTGGGGTTGTTTCAGGAGCATTTCAATGAGTGGGTGGGGGTTGGGACCCTGCATATGGTACTTTTTTTCCTCCTCCTGGCCCCTGGCAACCACCAGTTTACTTTTTGTCTCTGTGAGTACTTATTCTGGATATTTCGTCTATGTGGATCACACTATGTGTCCTGTGTCTGGCTTCTTTCACGTAGCATTGTGTTTTTGAGGTTTACTCATGTTTTAGCATGTGTCAGTACTTCATTGTTACAGCTGAGATATTCCCTTGTATGATATACCATGTCATGTGTATCCATTTATCAGCTGATGGACCTCTGGGTTATGTCTACCTTTTGGCTATCGTAAACAGTGCTGCTGTGAACATGCATGTATGAGTATTTGATTACCTGTTTTCAGTTACTTGGGGCACATGTCTAGGAGTGGAATTGCAGGTTCATGTTGTAACTTCATGTCTTACAGTTTTGAAGAATCACCAAGCTTTTCCACAGTGGCTGCACTGTTAGACATTCACCAGCAATTCTGCATCCTTGTGAACATGTTATTTTCCTTTTTTTTTTTTTTGTATTATAGCCATCTTAGTATATTGTAGTCATCTTAGAGAGTGTGAAGTGGCATCTCATTGTTTTGATTTGCATTTTCCTAATGACTGAAGACATTGATCATCTTTTCACAGGCTTACTGGCCATTGGTATATATTCTCTGGTGGTTGTCCAAGTCCTTAACTCATTTTTAAATTTTATTTTTTAATTTTTTGAGTTGGAGTCTCACTCTGTCACCCAGACTGGGGTGCAATGGCTGCTTCCGGCCACTGCAGCCTTGACCTACTGGGCTCCGGCGATCCTTCCACCTCAGCCTTCCAAGTAGCTGGAACTACAGGCGCGCGCTACCACACCGGCTAATTTTTGATTTATTGTAGAGATGAGGTCTCGCCAAGTTGCCTGGGCGGGTCTCAAACCCGCGGGCTCAGGCAATCCACTCACCTCAGCCTCCCAATACTCATTTTTAAATTGGGTTCTGTTTTTGTTATTGAGTTGTAGGAGCTCTTCATAGTTTTTAGGTACCAGATGCATTTGTGGTTTTTACATCTTTCCACAGGCAACTCCTGTGTGTGCCAAAGTCACGAACTGTGGGATTGGGCTGCACCAAGGAACAGGCCGGGCATTTGACGTTTGACAGACCAGGCTTGGCCCCTACTCACCTGGCCTGCTCTGCCACCCTGGATGCTTGCCTTTACCCCTGGCACATAAGTTGCCCTATCAGTAATGGGATGACCTTGTTATTCAGCTCTAAGCTCTCTGGTGGAGGGTAACAGTGAGGCTCAATTGCAATTAAAGCTTAACAAATAAAAGCTGTTAGGGAGTGTCCAAATCTCTTGGTGGCTTGCTCAGGTTAGCAGTGTGCAGTGCAGCCTTCTCTGTGGACGTTGATTGGAAGGGTTTTTAGTTCCTGTATTGAGCCTATCTCCTGCAACTTGTGCAATGTGAGACAGAAGAAAATGACCCCCTTGTTGGGCTTGACTTAGACTGCAGTGGCCAGGGTGTCACATACCTGGCTTCAACCTCCCGCTGCCTGCAGGAAAATGTCTACTGTTTTGTTTTACCCAGAAACCGTGGCTCTGCTGGGTTAAGTGCCTTCTCCTACTAAGCAAGTAAGCTGGCCTTGAAACCTAATCTCTGCCGGCCACAGTGGCTCACACCTGTGATCCCAGCATTTTGGGAGGCGAGAGGATTGTCTGAGCCTATGGGTTTGAGACCATCCTGGGCAGCTTGGAGGGACCTCTTCTCTACAATAAATAAAAAAATTGGGCAACCCCTTTGGGTCCCCTCCCACTGTGGGTGCTTTTCTGTCCTTTCAAGAAATCCTACTTTCTCACTAAAAAAGAAAAAAATTAGCCAGGCATGGTAGTGTGCTCCTGTGGTTCCAGCTACCGGAAGGCTGTGGTGGAAGGATCACCTGAGCCCAACAGGTCAAGACTGCAGTGTTTGTGAGCATGCCACTGCACTCCAGCCTGGGCGACAAAGTGAGACTCCAACTCAAAAAGAAAGAAACCTAGTCTTTGATGGCACATCTGCACCTCAGCAATCTGTAGAAGTTCTCTCCACTCCAGCTCCTGCCATCTCTGGAGAGGAGGAAGCCTGGCTGATGTGTGGCACCTGCTTCCCCGTGGGGACCCCTCCCATGTAAACTAGACAAAACAGCTGCCCCACACAACTGGTGGAGTCAGCCCAAGCCCATCCCTGGTGCTCAGAGCGGCTACAAAGAAAAGCAAGCCCTGTCCCCACAGCCAGCCACACCTTGGAGACACCAGCATCTGGGACACTGGGCAGAAGCCCTGCTTCCTTTGAGGTGGGTTCACCACCTGCCTTTTCTAGAATGCAGCCAAGAAGCTCAGGGGTCAACTCAACTGGATCTCATTCTGCAGCCAGTTTCTTGGACTAGAACACAAAGGGGCTGCAGTTCATCACCCACTTCTTACTGACCGTCCCCACAAGGGACAGATCTGTGCACCAGGCCAGCCTTAGGTCACCGGCTCACATGCTAGGTGGTACCAGTCCAGTCTACAGTCTGAACCTGGAAAGCTCCTTCTGAAATCTGCGTGAGCCACCTCCCCTCCTGCCAGACGTGCCACCACTGAACTAACTGGTTCAGATGTCTCAGGAATTCAGGCAACGGCACACAGATGATCCACAGCAGGTCACCAGAGTCCTTGGTGTTTGCCTTTGGAATACACTTCAGTTTTGTCCACTTAAGACTATTTTTCTGTGCCAGGTGTGGCAGCTTAAGCCTGTAATCCCAGCACTTTGGGGAGCTGAGGAATTTCAGACCAGCCTAGGCAACATAGTGAGACCTTTTCTCTACAGAAAATCTAGAAAGTTAGCCAGGCGTGGTGGTGCTTGCCTGCAGTCGCAGCTACTTGGGAGGCTGAGGCGGCAGGATCAGGAGGTCGAGGCTGCAGTGAGCCATGATTGTGCCACTGCACTCCACACTGAGCAATGGAGACTCTAAAGTATATATATTTTTTTCCAGGTTACAAAAGCAAAATGTCTTCATCAGAAAATGGAGATATTACAGACACAGTGTCCAAGTTTGAAGGCCCCTTTTTTGAGAAATAGCTTGGGGGGGTGGGTAGAGCAGCTCCCTCCCCTGTCCCAGGATGCTCCTCTCCGTGTCTGTGGCTGGGGGCTCCGTGGCCCACTGAATCCCCAGCTGAAGGACAGGATGGGGAGGGACCTTTGGGATCAAAGTGAGGCTTCCTTGAGCTCCTACGCAGTTGTAAGATTTCTGGGGGCTCTTTAGGCTGATGTGTTTCCTTCGTGTGGGTGGCAAGTCACAGCTTTCTGCACTGGGAGTATGAATCAACACTTTCATTTTTTCCATTCTGAAGCAGTAAAATTTCAAAAGAAAGTGCACCCCTGCAGAGGTGAGGGGTGGAGAGTTGAGGTGCTCCTGAGCGTCACCATTTCCAAAGTAGCCACTGCAACCTTTGCTCTGCTTCCTGCTGCTTGTGCTTGGAACTTCTGGCCTTGTCTTCTAACCTGCCTCCTGCAAGGTCCTTCAGGATCTGAACATGTGAATGTTTTCCACTCCCGGGAGTCTCCTAATGAGAAAACTGTGTGCTTGTTTCAAGGCTGCTTTTCTTTTCCTTTTTTTTTGAAAGCAGCATTTTTTTTTTTTTTGGGTGAGTTGGTGTCTCAGTCACTCAGACTGGAGGGCAGTGGGACTCTCCTGGCCACCGCAGCCTTGACCTGTTGGGCTCAGGTGATCCTTCTGCCTCAGCCTCCCAAGTAGCTGGAACTACAGGCACTTGACACCATGCCCAGCTAATTTTTTGACTTATCGTAAAGATGAGTTCTTGCCAAGTTGCCCGGGCTGGTCTCAAACCCACAGGCACAGGCAATCCTCTCACCTCAGCCCCCCAAAGTGGTGGGATTATAGGCATAAGCCACCGCACCCAGCCTGAAAGCAGAATTTATTAAGAGGGCAGAAAAGCTTCCACAGCGGGAGGGGACTCAAAGGGGTTGCCCTGTTTTTCTTAAATATCAGCAGAGATGGAAACCAGCTGGGCAGGGAAGTGTCAGGGGCTGAGTGGGGGGGTCTCCCTCTTGATGGACTATCCTGCAGCTAAGTGGACTTGCAAAAAGGGTACATTTTTTACTTGATGAGGTTATTGAGTTAAGGTGGAGGATCTGTGAGTCACGCTTTAATTTTTTTAAAGACAAGGCTTTACTCTGTTGTCCAAGCTGGAGTGCAGTGGTGCGATCATAGCTCACTACAGCCTCGAATTCCTAGGCTCCAGTGATCCTCACACTTCAGCTGCCCAAGTAGCATCACCACACCCAGATAATTTCTTAAATTTCTGTAGATACGAGGTCTCACTACGTTTCTCAGGCTGGTCTTGAGCAGTCCTCCCATCTCAGCTTCCCAAGGTGCTGGGATTACAGGTGTAAGCCACTGTGCCCAGCCTATAGTTCTAAATGTATACATTTCTGTTTTTTTGTTTTTAATCTATCCTGGTGATCCATGCATTCTGAGCAGGTGGAATCATTGCCTTACCACAGTTGTCAGGAATCCTGGTTTTAGATCACTTGGTGAAGCTAAAACAAGAAAGTTGAGTGCCTGGTTTTGCCACCACAGTGGAGGTTGTAAGTATTTAGACGGTGAGGCCTTGGGCTGCGCCCATACCTGGCTCACTCAAGCTGGCAGGCAGCGAGTTAACTGGCAGCAGCTCATCTTCAGCTGGCAGAGTTGGGACCAAGCAGCCCAGGACACAAGGTGAAGGCTTCTAGATTTACTTCCAGTTCTTTAGCTGGAAACTGAGGTATCAGACATTAACCTTGGTTAGGTGATGTAGCCTCCCTTTCTCTCCCTTTCAACTCATCCTGGATTTTCTACTAGCCATGGCACAAGAAGGGAAATCCAGAGCTACCTGAAGCAAGTGGCCTCCACAGAGTAGCCCGTAGCAACCCACAGTGGCATCAGGCCGCCTGTGAAGAGGGGCTCTACCCCTGGCGGGAGTCCCAGACCACAGCGCCTTCTCCCCTCCCCCAGCCTAAGCACAAGCTTCTTCCTGCCTCTGGCCAGCAGGCTCCCTGGCAGCTGGGTGGGCCTCGTTGCTGGGCTTGGGCATGGGGGTGAGAGGCAGCAAGGCTCAAGTCTTCATTCCAGGGCAGCTTGTTTTGTACTGGGCATCGGGTTAGCACTGCACACCCTTTAATCCTCACCATCACCTGGGATTCTCTCTTTTGTAGACGAGAGGACAGAGCCCCAGGCTGCTCCCTAGCCCACCCCTATCCACCCCCAGTGGAACTTCTCAGAGCGCTCCAGGAGCTCCTGACCCAGTGACTGCATGGACTTCGGTTAAGCCAGTCTTCTGCCCTTTCACCCTTGCTATAGCCTCTTGCCTGCACCCAGAGGCCTGTGCCACCATCCTGCCTCTCTCCATGTTCCTGCTCCCCTTTGAAAGGGGCAGGGGACAAAGATCCGAGTATCACATGTTCTCACTCATATAATGGACCTTGAACATCCAATGTAATACTAAAGAAAATGACTGACGGTACTGGGAAACTATGGGGAGGGGAAGGGAGATGGGATTAACAGTAGCAAATATCTGTCTGGGGACGGGGAAACACCTCTTATCAACAGGGTGCCTGAATGAAACGTAATTGTACACCTAACCCTTAACTGTACCCCACAAAACCATAATAAAAAATATTTTTTAAAAAAGAATCCATTCAGGGACTTGTAGTTCATTAAATGAATTTCGATCTGTGTATTCACCACCTAAGAAGTATCGCTTTGTACAATACTTGGGTTTTTATTGTATATAAGTCAGATTGTTAATTTGCAGCGTGCAGCACTGAAAAGATCATTTCAATAGTGCCTGATTATGCAAAATGAAACCGGGTTTTCATTAAAAAAAAAAAAAAAGGGGGGGACAGGGGAGTCCCCCAGACACCTGAAATTTGGGAAGGACCGAAGCAGGGTGTGAACAACAGCTGGGGGGGGGAAGCAGTCCCCACACAGCCCAGAGCCTCACCTGCCATCTTTGGTGACAGGACATGGGCCCTGGCGTTGGCTCCAGTGCCGTGGATGGGATTCCCTGGCCTCTCACCTGCACAGGGGGACTGGGCTTGCTTCTCACTTGTGCAGTCACAAGGAGAGGCAGGAAAGGTGGAAAAAACTGATGGGCATGGCAGGAAGGGCCGTGGAAGCACCCACCAGTCCCAGAGAGCAGGTGGGAAAAGCACAAGGCTCAGGAGTCCAGTCTTTTGGCAGGGAAATTAACCCCAACTAGGTTCCCATGACTAAAGCAAGCCCTCATACTTGATATGCACTGGAAGTTTTGAAACTAGTTTGCTGGCTGGGTGTGGTGGCTCAAGCCTGTAATCCCAGCACTTTGGGAGGCTGAGGCGAGAGGACTGCCTGAGCCCACGGGTTCAAGACCAGCCTGGGCAACTTGGTGAGACCTCTCTCTACAATAAATCAAAAATTAGCCGGGTGTGGTGGCGCATGCCTATAGTTTCAGCTACTTGGAAGGCTAAGGTGGAAGGAATGCCTGAGCCCAGCAGGTTGAGGCTGTGGTGGCTGTGAGGGTGCCACTGCCCTCCAGCCTGGGTGAGAGTGAGACTCCAACTAAAAAAAAAAAAAAAACTAGTTTGCTGAAATCCTACCCCTCAAGGTGCTGGTAGGAGGTTGGGCCTTTGGGAGGTGACTCGGTCATGAGCAGGGACCCCCATGGTTGGGCTCAGTGCCCATACAAGAGACCCTAGGGAGATACTCGCCCCACTTCCACCACAGGAGGACACAGCTAGACAACGACACCTATAAACTGGCTGGGCCCTCCCCAAACATGGACTCCGTTGGTGCCTCAATCTTGGACTTCTGGCCTCCAAAACTGTAAGAAATAAATTTCTAACATTTATAAGCCACTTGGTCTACAGTAGTTTGTTATAGCAGCCTGAACAGACTAAGATGCTACTTTTGAAAATAAACCCTACTGGCTGGGTGCAGTGACTCATGCCTGTAATCCCAGCACTGGGAGGCGGAGGCAAGAGGATTGCCTGAGTCCAGGGTTCGAGACCAGCCTGGGCAGCTTGGTGAGACCTCGCCTCTACAATAAATCAAACCATTAGCCAGGTGTGGTGGCACACACCTGTAGCTCCAGCTTCTTGGAAGGTTGAGATGGAAGGACTGCCTGAGCCCAGCAGGTTGAGGCTGCGGTGGCTGTGAGCAGTGTGCCAGCACTCCAGCCTGGGTGACAGAGTGAGACTCTGACTCAAAAAAAAAGTAAAAATAAAAATAAGCCCTACCACCTCCAAACTGATCTGAAGCCCTCACCAAGCAGCCAGGCAAAGCCACAGGGCTCAGCTGTGTGAAAGCACCAAGACCTCCCTACCCAGCACTAGTTACACACATATTCACATTTTTTCCCTTTTATTCTTATTCACATTCTCTGAGGCATAGCTTTGTTTCAGCAGGAAAGACACCAAAGACAAGGAGGGAGCCACAGAGGGAAGGTGGCTTCTCCTTCCTTCAGCCCCCTGCTGCTTCTGCCTGGTTTCCACGCAAAATACAGACAGCAGCGGAAAGCAGTTCACTTTGGCACAAGGTCTCCGGGAGGGGCACGTCTTCTGCTCTCCAGCAAGGCTGGCAGCAGCGATAGTGGGAAGCCACTGGCTGTGGGTAAGATCGCAGCCTGGCCAGCAAGGAAGGGGCTCCCCAGGGCCCTCAGCTGCCTGAAGAGAAAACTCACGCAGCTGAAGGGAAAGGGAGCCTTCCCCTGAGGTATCAGGTAGGCAGCAAGTCATACTGAGCTCCAGAGCTCAAGAACTCAACGAAGAAACTAATGCACACCAGGAGAGCGCCATCCTTTGACAGTCAGAAAGCCGTCCTCCAGGGGCACCAGGTGACTTCAGCCCCTGGGGGGCAGAACACACATCATACCTACCACCAGGCACCAGATGCGTCAAGATGCCTGGAGCTGGCACTGAAGAAGGCATTAATTACTTTCTCTCGCAGAGATAAGGAGCTGGCCTTCACCCCTGCCTAGGATGGCAGAGGATGGCAGAAGCCACTTTCTGTCAGTAGATTCGTTGCTGGTGATGATGGACAGAGCCCAGGGTCCTGGGGTTGACCCCAAGGGACGAGAGGGCACCTGTGCGAATGTCTGGCACTCCAAGCTACCTGGAGCAGCCCAGCGGTGCTCAGCTGACAGCGACCCACAAGCTCTCTGGGCTCAGGTCCCAGTGACCACAGTAGCCCAAGCATATGCCAACGCTCTAGGTTTAGGTAACGTACCCTCTTTCGTTCTGGCTAGGAGCAAGAGAAAAACCATTCTCCAAACCCCCGGGAGGAAGGCGGGCGCCACTCGCCAGCATCAGAAGATACGCCGGCCACCCTGCCCCGCCCGCTCAGAGCAGCCCCTCGGGTGCCTGCAGGCCACGGTACAGCGCATAGCCGATGCCATCGATCTCCTCCTCGCGCCAGCTGCGGAAGAGGTTCACGCTGGGGCTGAAGTGGCAGGGCAGGCTGGCCTGCTCCAGGCTGCCGATGAGCAGCTCCAGGGCCTGCAGGAAGCGCTCCCCCAAGGCCTGCTCCGCCCAGTCCGCGTCCTCCTCCGCCAGACGCAGAACCACCTGGGTCAGGTGGTCCCGGCTCAGCTGCCCCAGGGCCGGGCGGCCACGGCAGACGCCACACAGCAGCAGCAGCAGCCGCCGGCGGCTCCCAGCATCACGCTCATCCAG